TGAGGCTGGATTTGAACTCAGGTCTTCCTGACTCCAAGGCCAGAGCTCTATTCACTGGGCCACCTAGCTGCCCCGAGGCCAGTCTTAATTACTTTTATATCAGTGTCTAGCACATAGTAGAAGCTTAAAAATAATAATGATGATAATGATAAGAATAATACGTTAGGTTGATTCAGGAAGATTTTTTGGCTCTACAGAGAAGTTGGCAGAAAAGGGAAAGGCTCTCACTACTTAGAGGAATAAGGGGAAAGATTCTAGCAAGGAATATGGAGATGGAAATAGGAAGAATAGGGAAGAAGATTGGGGGACCTCGAGAGGGGGAAATACCTTGCAGGCCCCTGGCAGGAGGTGTAGTTTGACGTAGGGATCAGCCAGGCCGTTGAAGTCCATGGGCTTGAGACCCTGTCCATGGAGGGTTAGGGGACGGTAGAGATTCCTCTCAGTTCCCCCCTTTCCTGAGCCCAGGGAGATTCTCCAGACCTCCCAAAACCCACCACCTCCTACCCCATCTTAAGAATACATAACCAAGAAAAGGCTAGGGAGAGGAGAAGAGTATATAGGAGAGCCAGGCAGATGAAAGCAAAGATTAAAACTGAAACTCAAAGAGAAATGAAACAATAGTGAGTCAAACAAAAGCTAAAGATGACAGAGGTAGGAAGCTGGGGAGGAAATGTTCAACTTGGGAGGGCGGAAGGAAAAGAGGAAAGAAGAAATATCCCACCACTGACCTCTGTCAGTAACTGATAGGGCCCTGGGAGAAGGGAACAGGGCTGTGGGGAAGAAAAGAGGGGCTGGGCCTGTAGAAGTATGTTGGGGACCCACCTTAGCCCTGAGGATGCTGCAATGGAGAGTGCAAGTTGCCTGATCATAGAGAAGGTCAAACTCTAAGGTACCCAGGGCAGCTGTAGAGAGAGGTCAATTCACATCTCAAATTTAATGTGTCTGAAAAAGAATTCATCATCTCCCTCACCTACCCCTTCTTCCCCCAACACACACCAACTGCCTTCAAATCTCCCAATTTTTGTTGAGAGTGCCACCAATTTTTCACACTCAACAAAGGTTGAAGCCTCAAAGTCATCCTCAAGTCTTCTCTTTCCTTCTCTCCCAGTAGACAATCAGCTGCCATGTTTTCTCATTTCTACTTCTACATCTTCTACATCCATCCTCTTTTCCCTTTTTCATAGACACCCACCCTAGATCAGATCCTCATTACCTCTTTCCTGAACTACTTCTAATAATATTTTATTTTCCCCCAATTACGTGTAAAAATAATTTTTAACATTTGTTTTTTTTCCTAAAGTTTTAAGTTCCAAATTCTATCCTTCCTTCCCTTTCTTCCTCCTTCCCTAAGATAGTAAACAATCTGATATAGGTTAGACATGTAGAATCATGTAAAATTTATTTCTATATTCATCATTTTGTGGAAGAAAACTGGAACCAAAAAAGAGAGAAGGAAGGAAAGTGAAAAATAATGTACTTTGGTCTATATTCAGATGCCATCAGTTCTTTCTCTGGTAGTGGCTAGCATTTTTCATCGTGAGTCCTTTAAGATTGTCTTGGATCATTGTATTGCTGAGAATGGCTAAATCATTTACAATCGTTCATCATATATTGCTGTTATTGTACACATTGTATATGTGTACAATGTTCTCTTGGTTCTGCTCACTTCACTCAGCATCAGATCATACAAGTCTTTCCAGGTTTTTCTGAAATCATCCTGCTCGTCATTTCTTTTGCATAATAATACTCTATTACAATCATATACGACAACTTGTTCAGCCATTTCCCAATTGATGGACATCCTCTCAATTTCCAATTCTTAGCCACCATAAAAAAAGAGCTGCTATAAATATTTTTGTACAAATAGGTCCTTTTCTTATTTTTAAAAAATCTCTTTGGGATACAGACCTAGTAGTAATATTGCTGGATCAAAGGGTATAGCCCTTTGGGCATAGTTCCAAATTGCTCTCCAGAATAGTTGGATCAGTTCACACCTCCACCAACAGTGTATTAGTGTCCCAGTTTTCCCTCATCCCCTCTAACATTTATCATTTTTCTTTTCTGTCATATTAGTCAATCTGATAGATGTGAGGTGTACCTTGGAGTTGTTTTAATTTGCATTTCTCTAATCAATAGTGATTTAGAGCATTTTTCTTATGACTATAGATAGCTTTGATTTTTTTTTCTCTGAAAACTGCCTGTTCATATGCTTTGATCATCTATCAGTTGGGAAATTACTTGTATTTTTATAAATTTGACTTAGTTATCTACATAATTGAGAAATGAGGCCTTTATCAGAGATATTTGTTGTAAAAAATTTTCCCAATTTTCTGCTTTCCTTTCAATTTTGATTGCATTGGTTTTGTTTGTGCTCTTTTCTGCATTACTACAATAGTCTCCTAACTGTGCTCTCCCTGATTCCCATCTCTCCCTTCTTTATTCATGGCAGAGATTACCGTTGTAAGGCCAAATCTGACTATAGTACTCTTCGGTATAAAAAGCTTCAATGGCTACTTATAGCCTTCAGCAGAAAATAAAATAACTCAATCTATTATCTAAAGTCCTCCACAACCTTCCCAGATATTTAATATTATTCCTCTTCATGTACTTAACATTCTGGCCATGACCTACTAACTGATCCCTGAATTCAATATTCCAACTCCAATTTCTGCCTTGGAACAGATTCTTCCTCATGCCTGGAATTAACTTCCTCCTCACCTGTGCCTCTTAAAATCCCTAGTTTCCTTGTAAGGTTCAACTCAGGTGCAACGTTCTCTGAGAAGTCTTGCTTGTTCACCAGAGTTGTAAATGCTTAATCTCTGCTAAAATTACATTGTATTATGCTTAACTGTGTATGCCACATGCCACTTCACCCCACCCCCTGAAAAGGTAAGGTCTTTGAAGGCAAGGACTGTTTCATTGTGTCTTTATATCCCCATCCATTGCTTGGAATAATGCCTGGTACATTAAGTATTAAGGAGGTACTTTGTACTTGAAGATATTGGAGCACTTAATAAATGTTTGTCAAGGTAAAACTGAGAGGCCTGGACTGTGTGTGAATTTTTGTGATGGGATCCTCTGTGTGTGTGTGTGTGTGTGTGTGTGTGTGTGAGAGAGAGAGAGAGAGAGAGAGAGAGAGAGAGAGAATGAAGAGTGTGTGTGTCTATGAGAGGGAGAAATGAATGCCTTGTATATGAGTATGTGACAATATGAGTGTGATTGTGTGTAGATTTTCCACACGTGCATCAATTTGAGGGTCAGTATTTGAGTAGAAGTATATATGTGTGTGTGTATGTATAGGAAGTATGTAAAAGAATTTCTGTGTATAAGTGTACCTTGTGAGGTCTGAGGATGAGTGACCTTCTATATGTCAGGAAATATGTATGTATGTAACTCTGCATGTGACTGTATAAGTGACTGTATGTTTGTGTGTGTGAGGGAGAGACAGAGAGACAGAGAGACACTTGCTCTTGTGTCCTCAGCTGTGACTGTGGCTTGAGCTCTGTGTAGGTGGGAGGGTGTCTCAGCACAAATATTTAATATTGAGGCTGGCAGATGTAATGTCACTCTGATTACAGTAGCCAGGCTGCAACATCAGGGCCTCTCTCTCCCCAAAGGACCCTGGTGTCCCTGGCTTCCCCTACCTCCTCCTTTAGGCCCTCTATCACCCAAACCTCCCCTTCCCAGTGCTCCTAGGGGCCTCCCCCTGATCAGCTATCTGAGACCCCAGCATCTTCCTTATCTCCCCAGACTCACTGGTATCATCTGAGTCATAGCTGTCCACTTCGGCCCCCTCCTCAGAGGCCCCAGCCCCTCGAATACCAGCCCCAGAGGACAGAGCCAGGGGGGTTAGGCTGGGGGTAGCTGCAGCCCCAGTCCCTGGAGAGAGCTGGGCTTGGGGGCCTGCTCCACTCCTGCCACCCTCAGGCCCTAGCCGAGGAAAGTAGTCAGAGATCTGCCGGATGGGTCGAATGGGGCCAGGGCACACGTTGATGGCCATGTGCTCCTGGATGTTGATGGTCATCCGGTCACCCCTCCGGCCCCTCATTCACACGTCTCCCCTGGGAAAAGGAGAAAAGGGAAAGTTAGCTGTGGATCCCTGTCCTCTAAAAAATAAATGACCTTTCCTCTTCACCCTTCTCCTCTAGACTTCCCCCTCCCCCAGCCTTCTGGGCATCATCCTCCTGGAGGACAGTAAGGGTCCTACCCTGGGGGTCTGGCCTCCAAAGAATGGGAAATGAGAACAGACCTCCCCCCCCCCCCAGAGGAGGCTCTGGAATCTCAGGGCCTGTTAGGATGTGGGGGGAGGGTAGGGGGAGGTCATCCCTCTTGGGAGGTGCTAGGGACAAGAGCAGGGGAGGTAGTAGCAGAGCCTTGGGGGGTACAGAGCTAGATCATCCCTATAAGGGACCATGCAGGGCCCCAAGTGGGATCTCTGTGAGGGCTTAAGTGGACTGGGACCTATATCCTCCTAAGCAGCCAGACCACAGGGCTTCTCCCCTGTGGAAGTGAGTTAATTGCCTGTGTCTGCCAGGCCTTCATTGACTTAAATTCTTGGGCCTGAAATGGAATGGTTATGGGGGACGACAGACAGCATATGGGCAAATAGGGAGGGTGGCTGGCTTGACCCTGTCCTCCACCCTCAGCTTCCTTTCTAACCAGAGCCCATTCCTCTCTGCCCCTCACTTGGCCCCGAGGGGCCGGAGCCTGACTCCAACCCCATTCCGTCTCAAACTCTGTCCTATAACCCCACCTCCAGGAAATTTCCCTGGGCAGAGGTTCTGACTTTCTTGCCCTTGGTCTCAACCCTTATCCTGAATTCCCTCTGTCCTTCCTGTCCCTTGAGGTCCCTAGATTCCTCCCCGGAGGCTCTGTCTCCCCACCAGACTCAGTCTGAGTTCCCCTGTCCCCTTCCCCCCTCTCTTGCCTGTCTCTTGGTCAATCTGTCCTCCCTAGACTCCATTTATCTTCTGGGCTGTCTGCTCCTCCCGGACCTCTGTGCCTCCCCATTCTGTTTGTTCGTACCTTCTTACCCCTCAACCCCTATTCCTTAGGGCCTGCTGGGGGAGCCCCTTGCTCTCTTCTCCTCACCTGGCACTGGGCTTCCCGACTGCCGACTGCCGATAGATTGCAGTAAATGGGAGAGAGATAAACACAGATTCCCCAGACACACAACCTCTTTCCCCACCTCCTCCCCCAACATACACACCCAGCCCATCCCAGCCCAGCCCAGCCCAGCCCAGCCCCTTCCACCTGTCTCTGTGGTCCAACAGGTGCTTGAGAACCAGGGGGACAGCAGAAAGGGAGTCTCAGACGGTGCAGGGAGAGGTAGCAGCAGGGAACGCAGAGATAGGAGGAAATTCCAGAGGTGGGGAGAGAGAGGAGTCCGGCTGTGCGTGCTTGTGTGTGTGTGTGTGAGTGTGTGTGAGTGTGTGTGTGTGTGAGAGAGAGAGAGACAGTGCCTGCTGGGGAGGAGGGGGTGAGGGAGGTGGAGGCGAAGATGCAGCAAGAGAGAGGGAAGAGAGAGATGGATGAAGAGAGAGGGACAGAGGGACAGACAAAGAAGAAAAGAACAAGCTTGGGTGGGAGGTACATACGTACACACTCTTATATATAGAACAGGGCCCCCCAGCACACACACACTCACACAAATTCCATTCACACATGCAGTCCTCCCTCACATGCATTCACAGACATGTTCACATTCACCACACCCATATACATCATACACGGTCATATACACACTCACTGACACACATGTTTACACACTCCCCACCATCTCAGACACACTTATTCACATACATATTCATATCTGTGTCACACAGAGACACATGAATCTACATTCATACACACACTCATTAATTCGCATGTGAACACGCATGTATCTATAGGATACCTCAAAACCCCCTACTTTCACAACACACCGCTATGCTCACGGGCAGATACCCTCGTGAGCATTCACACATTTGTATGAATTAATATGCACACACAAATACGCGTTCATACACACACAGAGTTCTGGGTTTCCAGGATTCCCAGCACCAGGGACAGAGTGAGAAATGCCTGGTATTTCCCAGCTCCCTCCTCACAGAACTGGGGAGTTCCCTTTCTTCCCCTCCTTTCCCATAGATTTCCCCTGCTTGCCCCTGCTCCTACTACCCTTTTAGAACACCTGGGGGCCCTGGCCCCCTACTCACTACCACTGCCCCTGCCATCCTGAATCTGCTCAGTGCCTCCCTCTTGGGTCCCAGGTGACTGGGCCTGAGGTATGGCTGGCTCTGCCAAATTCAGAGAAGCATTGGGTCCTGGTTGCCATGGCAATGCTTGCTCATCCTTTTCTCCACCCCAACCCTCCTTCAACCTTCTTGCTCCCAGACTCCCCCTCCTCACACCGAAGAACATAGATTCTGGGCTCTGCTGAGGGGGAAGGCACTTGGTTCCACCAGCCCCTGATTAGCCTTTCCCTCATTCCCTCCCTCGGTCCTTCCCTCAATCTACCCTCTTTTCACTCCCTCCTTGGTCTCTCCCTCCCTCCTCCCCAGTCTCCCCTCTCTCCTCACTCCCGACTGAGGTGTCTCCCTTTGCTTTTCAGTTCTGCCCCTCCTCTCTCCCCTTCACACACAACCTAACTCCTTGTACCCTCTTAGATCAATCCCCTCAGTGAAGGGAGCCTGCCTATTTTGATCGTCTTTTCCCCAATCAGAACAACTACCTCGTGTCCTAGGCTCTGAGATGGTGGCTATCCGTCCCCTCACCCCCAGCCTCATTTGCCTGTACTAGGTTTTCCTTCCCTGTAGGGCGGGCCAGTTCACCATCAATTCATTGAGGGTTTCCACTTTCCCCACTAGCCTGAGGGAGGGGGATGGGGACTGGAAGATCTCAGCTAATTATAGGCTAATGAGGCAGCTGGTAGATGGCAGCCTCCAGAGGCGGGGGCGGGGGCCAAACCATCAGTGCAAGGCTATGGAGGGGGTGGGAGCGCTCAGCCTCTCTTCCTCCCTACTCTCCTTTTACTGCTTAGGGCCCCTCTTAACAGGGTCCAGACACTTTCCCTTCCTAATTGGATTGTCTGGCTACAGCCAGCACTTGGTTGCTGTCTTTGAGAGCTGGGAAAAAATCTTGATGTTTAGGAAAGTGGGCCAACATTAGGGAATTATTAGGCCTAGGGTCTGGATGTATGGGTGAGGGGCTGTGGGAACAGAAGGAGGGATGAAAGAGGTGGATAGGGTCTGAGAGATGAGAGAGTGGAAAGGGAGGGGAAATCAGAAGGGAGATGGAGGGTGAGGGATGGGGGTACTGTTTCAAGGAGGAAGACTGGTGGGTGGACGATAGTAACTGGGGGGGGGGGCAATGAGGGGAGAGTAAATTACATGGGAAGTGAAGGAGGGAATGGAAAGGTAGATAATTTGCAGGCCAAGATTGTATTTAACAGGAAAGGCCTCTATGGAGGTAGCAGGGTGTGTCTTGCGTGCTGGAAATTTGCCTTTAAATCTTATATTGGATTTATGAAGGGGTTAGATGAGACAGGCTCTAAGATTCTATAATAATACTCAGATTCTATATTCAGAAGGCTTGATTTGTGGCTGGGGATGGAGTGGAGAGAAGGAAGAAGGAGGAATTATCTTTTGTCCCCAGTCCTGCAATCTGACTCAGCTCTTCCCTTCATGTTTCCTGGTCTAGGCAGATGATGGATGGTGACACTTCCCACCTCTACTCCTAGCCTGGCCAGAGCCGAGCCATCTTATTGGTCCCTGAACTTGCGTTCTATCTGCTCACTCCTCAGACTACTTAGTGTTGTAGTTATTTCTTCAAGTTCCTAAAGACAAGGATTGTATCCTGTTCATATTTTTGTTTTCTCAGTGTTTTATACTGAGTGGGCACATAGTAAATACTGAGTAAATAGCTGTTGAATATGGATGAACGAACCTATTATCTCAGTAGTGGAAGCTTGGCTCCTTATTAGTCAAAAGAGGAAGGTAGAAAGTAACTCCAGGTAATGAATCAGGGAAAGCATTTCCAGTATTCAAATTATACCTTAAAAAAGTAAAAAGCTGTAATCAGCAGTAGCTAGGTGATACATTGAATACCTCTCTGTACTTGGAGTCATGAAGACCTGAGTTCAAATCTAACCTCAGATGCTTACTAGCAGTGTGACCCCAGGCACATTGATAAATTGATTAACCTCTTAGCCTCAGTTTCCCTATCTATAAAATTAGGATAATAATAGCACTTACTTGGGGCAGCTAGGTGGTGCAGTGGATAGAACACCGACCCTGAAGTCAGGAGACCTGAGTTCAAATCTAGCCTCAGACCAAAACACTTGACACTAGCTGTGTGACCCTGGGCAAGTCACTTAACCTCAATTGCCTAAAATTTAAAAAAAAATAAAAAAAATAATAGCACTTACTTCTCAGGGTTGTTGTGAGGATCAAAAGAAATATTTATAGTGTTTTTCAAAGCTTAAAGCACTATGTAAATTCTAGCCATTATCCACAAAAGTTTTTGGTACTGGTTAAAAATAGAAAAACAGATCCCTGAAACAGATTAGATAAGGAAGAATCAGAAAAAAAATCAAACTCAACATCTTGGTGTTTGAAAAGCTTGAAAGCATAAAATATTTGAGAAAGAACTCCTTATTAGGTAAGAACTGGGAAAACTGGAAAGCTATTTGGCAGAAATTAAATTTGGACCAACACCTTATACTTTGTACCCCAGTAAATTCAAGCATCTTATCCTATGTGCCACAATAAGTTCAAAATGGATATACAACATGAATATTGAAGATCATACCATAAAAAAAAAAGAGAATGAGATCAGATACTTTTCATAGTTATAGGTAGGAGGACAGTTTTTAACTAAAGGATTGAGGAGATCACAACAGATAAAAATAGATCATTTGGGTTACATTAAATGGTGCAAAGAAAATCATTGCAATTACGAAAACATTTTTGTGTAAGATGTCTTTTATTAGTATCTGATATCCAGATGTATAGGGAGCTAACACAAATATTTAAGACCACCATTCCCCAGTGGATATGTAAGTGAGTG